AAGAAGAAGAAGAAGAAGAAGAAGAAGAAGAAGAAGAAGAAGAAGAAGAAGAAGAAGAAGAAGAAGAAGAAAAAGAAGAAGAAGAAGAAGAAGAAAAGAAGAAGAATAGAGAAACTCGACACACCGACACTATCTATATAATATATGTATATATATATATATATATATATATATATATATATATATATATGTAGATATAATATAGCTTAAAAAAAAATTAATGATAATCAATGAAGCACTTAATAATGTGGCGATGAAAATAATCGATTGGCGCTTCTTACCATCTGTCCGTGCAGCAGGTGTAAATGTAAAGAGAAAGATCATTCAAAATCTTTTTTCTGTTAATGTTTTCTTTTTTTTTTGGGGAAGGGCCTGGGGAAGGCAAGGGACATTTTACATAAGACGTATTACGTATGTAATAATATGTGAATTTTTTGGGATAATAGTATTGTAATTATTATTTCCTTTCTTTTTGTGCTTTTTTAAAAATTTTTTTTTACGTCTTGTTATTTTTTTTTCTTTTCTTCTTTTGCGAAAGAATTTATCGAAAGAATATAATATCGTTATACGAGAAAGTGTCGTACGTGTCGTTATTTTTACGAGGGGTCACAACGGTGTGGCAGCGAGGGACGCGAGGGGTGGAGGGGGAGATTGAAACTAGAATATGGGTAGAAAAAGAGTGATGGGGCAAGATAGTAAATCGCGCGTCGAATATAAACCCATTTTTCTTTTGGCGGTGACGCGTATAATAAAAAATTGACAAAATTTATTTTTTTTCTTATTCGAGGAATATCTAGCTTTGCGTTTTAATCTAATGCGAAATTGCAGAGATCGAATAGGTCGTAAATTTCTTTTTCTTTTTCTAGCAAGATCGATAAAAAATTCGATTGTTTATAACAATATGTGACAAGCATATAATAATAACTAATAATAGTAATAAACATTCTATGAGTGTGGATTGAAAAGTTTTGAGTTTTAATAAAAAAAAATCTTTTTATTATTTTTTTTTTTGGCTCAACATTTTTCAATCCACTCATGTATAAGACGTCCACTTTGAAAAAAAAAGAAACAGATACCTGGATAAGTATTCAAATGAAATTTTGAAATAAAATACGAGCAACCGATTTCTGCATGACGCACCATCAATTTATCTTCTTTTTGAAAAATTTCTCTTTGATATAATATTTCTTTTCACAAAAACGCGACGAGATACAAGAGAAGAAAATGGAATTATATATATATATATATATATACGCTTCTATTCATTTGGTCAATACTTTGTAATAATAAATGATCAGAATAAAAAATTTTGTTTTATTCAGTATAAATAATTAGTGGTCATTATAAATAATAATTTTAGGATTGTCTCGTTTTTTAAAAAATTCTAATAATCTTCTATTTAAAATACTGATCATTTATTTCAAATACTGATTCAATAAATATTAGCTATATATATATATATATATATATAGAAAGAGAGTATATAGTATATTTAGGTATACATATATAAAAAATATTAAAAAAAATTCTAGACATAATGGAAAAAAGGGTGGATGTGATCACGTAAGTATTGTCATTTTTCATCGTTAAAGGATAACGCGAGCGGTGCTTGTTTCCTTGACATCGTAGCAATATCAAGGATAAACACAAAGTAGAAAAATTCTCAGCGTTTCAGAATTTAGTACGACAAAATTAAATGGTCCTTTCTTCAGTTGTGACAACGAAACGAAGTTCTCTCTCTTCGTTTTTACGATAAATTTTTTTTTCTTATTTTTTATATCCTTTAATTTCATTTTCATACAAATTTTTCTCCAACGGACTATTTTTCTATTTTTTTGTTCTCTTTGAATATTTTTCTCTGTTATCAAGTTACGTTATATTTAAAGAGAGAAAGAGAGAGAGAGAGAGGGAGAGAGAGAAACGAATGTTCTCTGTTCAGTATAAGTTAACGAGTTCCTCGAGATTCTTGTATAACGACGAAGAATAGTATTCTCCGAGGAAACTAGAAATATTTTCTTTTTTTTTAAACCTCCATTTTCATCAGATATTATATATATATGTTTTCTCTATCTCTCTCTTTTGTTTTAACGAGAAATAAAAAAGGAGAGAGAGAGAGAGAGAGAGAGAGAGAGAGAACGAACATGTAGTAGTGTCACAACGAAAGACGGACGGAGAGCAACGAACAAAGCATCGCTCGACATGTTCTGCAAAGAAGGCTTCGGAATTAAAGGTGAACTCGAATAATGAAAAGTCACAGTGGACATTACCTTCTTCGAGGCCATCATCCCCGTCGCTCATCAATTCATCGTCCGAGCAAATGTTCAGCACATTCACCAGCATCTCTGTGACTGCAAGCAAAAAAAACAAGAAGAAGAAAAAGTAGAAGAAGAAACAAAATGGACGGATAAGATAAGGAAAAAGATAATATATATATCTATTCATAAATTTATTTTCTTTTTTTTCTTTCATTTTTCTATTGGGCAGACGCACAAGTTTAACCTTTTAGGCGCCACGCACCACTATACATAGTTGCTTTCGCGGATAACATCTTTTAAGGGGCACCACTAGTGTAACCGCTTGAAAAAAAGGTGATTTTTAAGAATTTTTTTAAAGAGAACTACCACATGAAATTTTAAGTTTTTTTTTTTTAAGGAGATATTTGTGGATATGTAATGAATATATGACAAAATTTTTGGACCAAAAAATTGAAGATAAAGGAAGTCATTCGCAATCTCCCAAGGCCTCAAAAAAGAAGTCCCCCCACTGTTGCAGTTATATAGCGACTTTCACAGTGCATGAAATAAAAAAATAAGAAGTTTATTAAACTAGAAGAAATTTCCCGTGTCATAAACCTTGGTCGAAAAAAAATTGAAAAATTTAACAAAATGGCGGAGTTTAAAAAAAAGTTTCAAATTTCGCGTGAAATTTTGATGATTTTTAGCCTGCCAAAATTACATTTTTTATTCGATCGAAAAACTGAAGGTTCATGGTATGCAGAAATATATATAAAAGAAGCTGCAACAAAAATCAAATCGAATGGATGATTTTTTTCGAGTTATAACTGCAGTAAATTTGAAAAATGTAGTTCCGAAAAAAACGTGTTACAAGTTTAAGTTACTGATTTCATCGTTATAAATTAAGAAATATTAGATAGATATAACGCAAAAACTATTTGAGATATGCACTTGAAATTTTAATATGTTATTTTTAAAGGTATAGACTATCGAGATATGCAAATAAAAATCAGTTTTTTCAAAATTTCACACTAGTGGTGCCTCTTAAAATATATTATAGTTAAATTTATTATTAATTATTAAAGTAAATTGTTTAAGTAAAGTATATGTGTATCATTTCTTTAATAAGAATTATAGTTTAATCATGAAACACTTTATAAAAATGTACTCGCGTAGAGAACAACCTTTGTTCGTTACACGTCGTAGTTTTATCGTTTACACGTAATTCTCATTGAACCCTGCCACAATAGGCAGCTGTGCCTAAAAGGTTATTTTGTAACATTTGTAAAATTTTGTTCACATTTTTAAAAATTCAATAATATATATACCTATTCCCCGATTAACACGGTACTTTATTTACACGATTTCACTTTTACAAGGTTTCTAAATTTGCCCCCGGCCCGGATGGAGGAGCCTAAACCAGTTGCGTTAATAGTAAAAGTCATCCGTCAAGGATGATTTTTATTAATTCATGAATTAATCCATGAATTAAGGCGAAAATTGAATAATCATTTTCTACAAAATGACCCGATTGTTGAACGAGCTCTCTTATTTCAGCAAGATATTAATAAACGCTTAACTCAATATAAGGAAATCTATAAAGATTTGATCAAAAACCAAAGACAATTGTTAATTACGGATCTCATTACCAAGATTTACCGATCTAAAATTTTGTTTAATGCATTTAAAATCGAATTTGAATCGTATTAAGTACTATCGAGTGATAAAAGTGACATAATACTAACTAGGAATAAAAGATGAATAGTCTACAAAAGTGATAATAGTAATAAAATTTATTGTTACATTTTTTTAATTTATACTTCTTTTTTCTATATGTAAAATAAATTACACACATATACTTTTATATTTTTATTATTTTATGAATATACCGTTATTTTTATATTTTTTTAATGATATTTTATTTTAAGTTGGAATAAAATGACTGAATGATGTACATTTTAGTTTGTTTTCAATTTACACGATATTCAAAGGAACCTATAATCATTGTAAATTGAGGAATAGGTGTATATATGTATATACATATTGTGCTTCATGTTGGTTGCAACATTAAAAAAGAAATTAAAGAAAATTAGGAAAATTCTAAGCAGCAATTTATATCTGAATAAATTTTATATAAAAACGCTATTGTTTGTTTTGCGTTGATTAGTTATTAGAAGATAAGGAAAAAAAAGAAACAAGGAAAGTTAATTTTACCTTTTTCACCAACAAATGGTAAAGACCATGTAAAAACATCCATAAAGTTGGGTAACCAATATGGATGAGGCGAACAGTTGAATTGCCTGATATTCATTACATTATTCTCGTATTTCAATACTGCTGCCTGAAACAAATAATTGTTTTTTTTTCTTTATTTAAATTAAAAATCCCTAAATCCCTCTTTTTTCCGTGAACTAATTTGAATAATTAATCTTCGTTTCTTTTGTATTCTCTCTTTTTCTATATAGGATTAACTTTTATGATACAATTGCGTTCGTCGAATTGAGATATTACATTCACTAGAAATATGAAAAATATTAATGAATTATTTCATTACGAAGTCGTTGGTTAAACGTATGCAATAGTGTACTCTTGATAAGAAATATTAATTATTATTTTTTATAAATCTTCTTAGTTTAATGAAAAAATTGATAAAATTAATTTTGAAAGTAATAATGTTAAATTAGTATGTGTGGTTGTGCGATAATAATTCAAAACTGATTAAATGGAAGTTAGCAATTTCATAATTTCATATCATTCTATATTTAGGCTTAATGGTCATTATGTAACATCTATTATTTGAATAATCCAACATTTGCGATAAGTACATAATATTATAACAGACAAATTTTAAAATTAAAAGAGAAGAATTAATACCTGTGTGTATGACAAATAAATCAATAATTAAATGTCGATGTAGAATTACTATCCCAAGCAAATTTTCTAACAAAAAGAAATCGATTAGTATGTATTTGTAATAAATAAATATATAATTATCAAGGTAAGTTTTTAAAGCGAGCCGATTTTAAATATTCGTTGATACGTGTCTGTAATAAATAAAAATAAACAAATACAGCGGAAGGGATGGAAAGTTTTGGGTCTTACACAGAAAGGATTCTTTTTTTGTCGATCAAATTCATTTTTATTTAAAAGAAAAATAATAAAATTTTGTTTTTATTGATGTCCAAAATTAATCAAACCATCCTCGTAATTGTCATTAAGTATGTAAATTGGGTATAATTTTGTTACCTTATTGTTGTAAACGTCGAGGTAATTAGGCGCACTAAAGATGGTGATCAGCGATGGGAAGCCCGTCGTTTGAGATTTTCGGTACATACGATAACCCGCGTCCTGTGCTTCATGCGCTCTTATGATGCTCAGCAAATTATTGGTCTGCAGAAAATCGCAGCATGCCGCGTAACTGAAACACCAAACGAGAGAGTTATATAAATCTGTTTAATTTTCTTCACTTTCAAGAGCCTACCATATATAGAAATGGAAGTCATAACTTTAGTGAGCTTTTCGAGAGCTTTCGATTTAATTCGAGTCCAGTCAGAAACGATTTAACCGAGAATATTTATCATTTATGTGATTCAATTTTTAATCTCTTTAGTTTCGTAATTTAAGTTTTAGTAAAAAGTAATATTATAAATTGATTTTTTATACGTGTATACAGACGTTCATTATTTACGTGACACTTTTAACGTTCTAGTTTAGAAATAAAATTTTATTTCAAATAATATCAAATAGTGTATATATACACTTATAACATATATGTCATATATTAAATAAGAATCTTCTTTATCGACTTTTTACACAATTTATTGCTATTGTGAAAATTTCTAAATCATATAACAGTATTATTCCACTGGGAAAAACGTATTTCTCTTAATTTAATTAAACAACTCGCCAAATGTCTCATGAGATAAATTGCGGAGTAATATTTGGGAGTTACATAAAAAAAAGGAAAACTTATATATGTAAGTGTAAGAGAAAATTCGAGAAGTGTTTGTATCGATATTTTTAGAAATATTGTTCCGTCCTAGGCCGTTTTCTTTTGCTTTTAAATGCTACGTTCAATATTTTTTTAGGCTTATATCAAGTAACCCGATATATTTTTATTGCCTAGAATAAAGAACCAGATTACAGACAGTTCTCCCATGCATGTGCGGTATTGTTCGCAAATAAAAGGTACGCTTAACCTTTTGCGGTCCGAGCGCTTTTCACCGTTTCGTTCTAGTAGGTCCGCGCTGAATTCGCAAGTCGCTTATCCGCTTTATAGTGTTTACTTTGGAAAACATTTATGACCTTACTAATGTAACGTACTCATGAATTAGTAGATATATAAAAAAAATTGTAAAATTTTTTAAACATTATTTTTTATTGTTTACAGCTTATAATTAACCATTGTATGATATCGTTTAAAACATTTTCCGACATGCAATCCCGGATTTCTATCGCAGGTTTCGCATATATACGAAGTTTCTTTTCTACCACCTGGAACTTTACGGTTAGAACAAACTGTACAATCCTTGTGCTTATGCTGGGGATGCAGTGTAATTATATGCAGTTTTCCATCTAGTCGCTGTTCCTTGTCGCTGGATGATGGTCGTCTACGTTTTGCTGTTATACGAAAGTCCCCTACAAGATCAAGCAACAGTTTTTCTCTGAATTGTTTGTGAGAAATGTTTTTATTGGTATTAGGAAGAGATTCTTTGTATAAAATATAAGCATTGACAATAGATGCTTCCAAACCCCAGAAAAACAGTTTCCTCCACCATTTTAGGGTTTTGCGAAGGAAGCAGTATGTTACAGTATATTTGTCGGCTAAATCGACGCCGCCCATGTTTTTATTATATTGTATTATAGTACTGGGCTTCAAAATTGGCTGCGTTTTATTATCTACAATTCTTCTATTTCTAACAATTTGGAATTTTGATGTACCATACGTTGATAGTATAGACACGACACGTTTATCACGCCATGCAAGCAACAATATTTCTTGTTTGCGATAAGCAATTGTTTCCCCAATCCTTAATTTCGGTGATTTCATCGAAAAAGGTACTCCTTCTCTATTCGTCATTACCGTTCCCGTTAAATAACATTGCAAATTAAACAATTTTTGCCCAAGTATGATGCTAGTATAGAGTTTATTGGTAAATATATGGTATCCTGTAGCTTCAGGTATTGATTGCTGTAAATTATTATACAGATGTAAAACAATCCGGCTTGTGACTGGTAAATTGGGGTAAATTAGTGCGTCTGTCGTTTCTTTTCCAAGATATGGTAAAAATGTATATACATATCCGGACGATGAGTCAGTTAACAAGTATAAACGGAATCCCCATTTATTCGGTTTTTTGGGATTATACGTTTTAAATGAAATTCTTCCTTTGAATCCAACAATGGATTCATCTATAGAGATATTCTGTGCTGGTACCAAATGATATCTGAATTTTTTGTCCAAATAGTTAAGAAAATGGGCAACTTTATTCACAGAAATTCTTTCCTTATTGTCCGTTTGCGGCGTGCTTTCTAAATGCATTACCCAAAATATCTGTAGAAATCGTTGGAGTTTAAAAATATTATTGTAAAATGGAATGTATGCATGGCATTTTTTGCTCCAATAATCTTTGATGTCATGCAGAGGCATCAATCCCATGTTGATAATTACACCAAGAAATGCTCTTAATTCGGTAACAGTAACCTCATACCAATTATGCCATAATGAGTGCACAGAGACTTCACAGCCGCCAATTGTTTTTTGAGCATATAAATTTGTTTCTGCCACTATTTTACTAACAAGCTCATCCGTAAAAAATAATGAAAAAAACTGCAGAGGTGTAATGCAATCACTCGGAACTTGCGGGCCTTGTACCTTGTCTCCCGTAGAAAATTCGATGGAACTGGAATAAGTGTCGTTTTCAGTGACATTTTGCCAACCGCTATTTTTGTCTGTATCATCAATACTTTCAGATGTATCATCAATTCTGTTTATACGCCTGCTTCGTCTAAATGTAACAACGTCCTCTGACTCTTCACTACTTTCCATTTCAGATGCATACATTCTTTGAAATTGTTCTTCTATGTCGACCAAAGAATCACTACCATCAGTTTCAAATTCATTATCACGGACTGTTATACGTCGACTCTGTCGTTTAGCCATATTCTTTACAAGAAAAAAAATTATTTTCTAGAAATGTAGGATTTGAAAATGCTTTCTAGTTGTGCTAGGATTTTGAACTGTACGCCACGGTAGGTTTGAAAAAATTAAAACAGCCTTTAAATTCAAAATACATGGCCTATTTCAGACTTGTTACACTGTAGCTTTTATCTTATCTTATTTAGACTAAGATTAAGATAGTCGGGCGAAACTTGATACACTACTCCAGAAAATATAGCGATGACGAGCTACATTCGACATAAGACGTGTCCAAACGAAATGCAATGTCGTGCCACGCTCGACATATAGTCCAGTCAAAATAGCCCTGAAATCGGGTTTTTGGTCTATACGGCTGAAAAAATATGGAAATAATAAAAAAAATGCGTACAAAACTGTGGGAAAAGTAAAAAAGTTCTCAACCACCGGGAAAGGGGTGAAAAAAATTAAAAACTACCCCAAAATACGATTTTTGGATTATATGTTGAAAATATCAAAAAAAGTTTCAAATAAAAGTTGTAGAGTATAAAATTTTAGGCCTATCTCTTTCAGACCATTTTTCCCCTAAAACGCACCCTTTTACTCCTACGACGGTTCAAAGTACTAAAAACATGAAAATTCAATAAAAAATATAAAAATTGAACTTTAAAAATTTTTTTTTAATTATCTTTAAAAAACTACAAAGAACAATCGTAGGGGGAAAAAATTTTGTTTTTTTCATCCCTTCTGTTAAAAATCAAGGGGTGAAAACGGTTTTTGCTCGATATTTTGCTTAAGATGGGTTATTTAAAAAATTTTTCTTTTTCATATGAATTTTTAATTTATTTTTTAAATTTTGGTGTTGAATTTATATTTATAAATATTTACCTGTAGGAAATATCCCAATTTAAAGACAGGTAATTACTCCCTTAGTCCTACGCCTTTGTAGAAAGAAACAGAAAATGAAGCTATCCTGCTCTTACTCATTGTGGCGTAGGTCGCCATGGCACGCATGCGCAAACTCTTAGCTTACATGCGTGCAAGAGAGATAAACAATCTATTGTTGGCTAATTGAATATTGTTGAAAGAGAAGGCGGAGAGGTACCTGGAGGAGTGTTAGCGAGGAAGAGAGGTTGTGTGAGGAGAGTGAGGGTGAAGAAGAAAAAAAGCGGTGAAATAGATTAGGAAAAAAGCGCGGGAAATGACAGGAGTGCAGGGCGCTTATGTGAGCGGGAAAAAGAAGAGCGAAGTCGGCAAAACAGGAATCGACACGGAGGAAGAGGTTAGAAAAAGGAGGGGCAGGCCCACGAACGCGGAGAGGGCGGCAAAAGGGGGATAGATGGAACAATAAGTACATTTTTATAGAGCAGTTAATTTCCTACAAAAATTTGTATTGTGCACTTTTTAATAGTCATTTATTGTCGAGTTATAAAATTTATAAACAAAAATGAAATTTGTCTAAAAATCATCAAATTGAAATCTTCAATATCATTCAAATGGTGAGGTTTACGGAAAAAATATAAGATACCTTTTTTGTAGAGCATTAAATTTTTACAAAATTCGTCTAGAATATTTTTCTGTACAATCAATAAATAATGAAGTATGAATTTTAATCTATTAGACTGAAAAAAAAACTGCGATGCGGAGGATCTTCCTATTAAAATTAAGAGCTCATATTTGGTGAGAATTGTTTTAAAGTGTCTAGAAACCCATTTTTCCGTGGCACTTGAAAAAAAAAAGTCTTTTTTTGACCCACCCTAATATATATATTATATATATTATTATTGAGCAAGTATTATATATTGCCAATTATATTGGCAAATATATATAATATTATTGAGTTGGCAAGAAAGTAATATTTCACACTAGAAAACCGAAATTACTTTCTTGCCGAACCAATATATTCCACTTTATTTTCTCTGTCTGAACTCTACAGTTTCGAGCGACCTCGGTGGTGCTTCGTTTATTAGACTGAGCAGGACGTTGGAAAAATTCGAGAACGGTACGGAGGATGGTTCATCCCACAGGGATGCAGGGTGGAGGCAGAAACATATGAGGAGAGTGCAGTCACACGTGAGTGCGTGTGCGTGAGAGAACCGAGCGATGAGAGCGAGTGAAAAAGCGATACGATACGAGCAACTAGAGAGTGAATAGCGAGTGAGTAGCAAGTTGCAGTAAGATTGCGGATATTCACGGGTTTCGTGCGTTTTGTGAGGTCAGAGTGAGTGTGAGAGATTGTGAATTGTTATTATATTATACTAATTTTAATAAGTAATAACTTA